CTCCTCCTCTTCCTCCTCCCCTTCATCGTGAACAAGCTCTACCACCAATGATGGGAAGACACCGATCCGTCCATTCAGCTCTCCCTCCCAAAACCCATCATCCACCTGCAAAAAAGAACATTCACAGAAATAATGTAGTAGATATGAATCATGAATCCATCGATTTTTTCCACAAAATAATCTACACTCAAGGTCCACTTACTAGCTTTTTTTAGGGCTTTCAACCACTCATGACCTTCATCAATGGAGTTCCCTCAATTGACTTCTGTCATGTGATAACAACTAAATCAATTTCATGAGAGCAAACTACTGCACATTTCTGGTGAGGATGGTGAGGTGTAGCTGAAAACTCTGGAAAAAGCTAGTGACTGGACCTTGTGTTAATGATTTTGACACTGCTCATTGGCCAGAATAAAAAGCTCAAAAAGTCAAGCTGAGACTCTGCAGCTATAGAGAGAGATCCTAAATGAAACCAGACCTTTTGAGTTCTGTTCCAGAAGTACGCTAACCTTGTGAGGCAGAAGGACTCGTGAGATCACAAAATCTCAAGTGAGAATCGATCGTGGCAGGCTTTAAGCTATGTGTTCATGTTCAACCACAGTGATTGGTTGAAGCTCGCCTGTGATATCCAAACACCGGCTGTGTTCCTGCCTTTTTTGAAACAGTTTCCAGATGGTTCTGTGTAACCAACCATCTTCCAAAGTCAGGTTAGAAGCAAGCAAACCTTGTTTAAAATCCCATTAAGTCACTATGCTAATCATTAAAGCTAGCCTTCAGTAGGCCATATGGCTCACTTTATGTCTAGATAAGATGTTGAAGTGATCTAATATAGTTGTTTATCCAATATAGGCTCTAACAGACAGCGTTTATCATTGCAGGTAAAATGTCACTACTCGGCTGAAGAGGCGAGTCCATTGGCGAGTCTTGTAAAGCAGTTTTTAAACAGCACAGACTACAGCTAGAAAGTGGGAAAAATGACAGAATATGGAAGACACACAGCTGAAAGAGTGCTGAATGAGAGATTGGGTTACAGAAGCTTATGGTACAGAAGCTAGACAGGAAGTGACGGCCTGGCTCTCTTACAGCTGAACCTGACAGGTCACTGTAGCTAATTTTAGGTCTGCTATGATAGTACCACTTCATAATTTACCGGAGAGCAAAGGATTGTGGGATGAAGTCTGGGAAGTCTGCATTTGTTGTGTCCTCTGAATTTAGGCTTCAGAAGACTGCGTTTCTCTGAGGCTTCGGCCCCTACCTCTCCGTGACGACAGCGTATCAGGTGAATTAGCGCCCCCTCCTGGAAGGAAAGCTCCTCTGCACTCTGGGCCTGGTACGAGTACAGAGCTCTGGCTACACCTGACACAGGATTGAAGTTATTGTGACATGACATAATCACCTCATTATGAATCATGTGTGGATTGCATGTGTTTCAAATACAATAGGTAAGTAGCGGTATTGTGGATGACCACAGACTGCTGACCTCTGCTCCCTGCCCTCTCTCTATTCCCAGTGGATGAGGTGGAACTGAAAGAACTGTCCAGATGAGTGCTGTCCTCTGCTGGTAGGCACAGGAACTGTACATAACGCTCTGGAACATACCCCACCTGACCACAGGAGTTACACACCTGGCAGACACAGATACAGATGAGTCACTGGAGAACATTCACAGAACATAATGAACATTTTAAACAAAGGATTGTCAACTATTTTTTGGAATAAAAATGTTTTTCTTTTTCTGAAGGCTGACATTATGTGAACAAACCTTCAGCCAGTCCTCCACATCTCCATCCTCAATCACTTGAAGCTCCTCCCCCTCCATTATTGATAGCTCATCTGACTGGCTAGCCTACAGGAAGTAACATGCTTGTCATTTTGATGAATTGTTCAGCATTATGTAACTGCAGTACTACACACTACACACACCCATTCTATTTGCTGAATACATTTGCACATTTCTTTTCATGATTTCCTGCAAGAACATTAATCTGCAGCAACAGATTCCACTGATTTCAGTCAACACTGTGAAGGATAAGAAGGAAACAACATCAGAAATACTTTAGTTACACCAGACAGGACTTTAACCACTTCCTCCTTTCTTTTTTCCTTGTTGATATGTCACTGTTTCTCAACATTTTCTGGCCTGTGACTTCACTTTACTTCCGGAAATTGTCACGACCACAGCGCTTCGAGAGGTGTCAAGTTGTCATCAAAAGCATGGAGGAAGTGTTGAATGGAATATATAGAAATTGTGTTTTTGAAATACATTACACTTCCTATTTAAAACATGTTGCTGAAATGTGTGTATCTTAAGAAACCACGTAAAGTGAGGCCTTCGCCTCAAGACTGAGTAGAGAAGATTTGCTGTAATACTTCTGAAGACGGTAAAAAGCATTACCTGATAGCTATAGATTACTCTGCAGGCTGCAGGGTAAACACACACTCCAGATGCTGACACTGGATCTGCAAAGATATCTCCTTTTTCATCATCGTAGTCCTCAAAGTCAGTCAGCTCAAACTCATCCTCCTAAAAAGTACACAATAAAACACATCAGCATGACATAAGTAGGAGAGGTAACTCACATATTCAACTACATTATATTTAAAGAAAAAATACAATATGGATCTTAATTTCAGTATGGTTATCCTAATATTACCCATCTTTTTGGATTTGGGACAGGAATTGTGTGAGTATCAAAGCCTGATATAGCTTCTTCCTCTGTGCCATAGAGCTCAAATGAATGAGCCACACTGTTGCACTGGTCAGCCTGGTATGGCAAACCTACCAATGTCTTAAGTCATTTTGCGTGTGATCACTATGCCTTTTTAGTTTTTTGTGTGTCACGTCACCCCATTTCTACTGACTTATCTATATAAGTGGTCTCAGCACTATTGCGTATCATTTTATGCAAATAGGGTTTGGACTGAAAGCTTTTATTGACAGTAAGATAAATACAGAATATTGGCAGCCCTAACCTCTAAGTGCTCATTTTAACGTATAAGTGACACCATTATATATCTGAGCTATTCCTCTGAATATCTTTATGCCAATTACTAGCCTGAGAATCAAGAAAAAGTCGACAGGGGAGAAACTTACTTCTGAACTCCACATCAGGTCCTTAGGGGAGCTTCAGTGGAAGACTATATTAATTTACAATGGAGATAAGGCAACCATGTCACACTGGCAGTATTAGATGTGAAAGGTCCCAGGCCCTGATTAGCTCGACCTCAGCTAGACCATCAGAGTTACTAAGAAATTCAAGGAGGTTGGTTATGTGTGTGTGTGTGTGTGTGTGTGTGTGTTTGCATACTGAAAAGTCTTCAGTAGACTTCCTCTGTTCACTGAGGCGTCTCTCTCTCTCCAGCTCCTCCTCTGCCTGGTGCATGGCATCGTGAAGCCACTGTTCAATTCCTGTGACACTGTCAGACAGCAGAGCTAGACGGGCCTCTGCTTTCACCCTGCTGAGCTGAGACAGGAAGAAACACAGACAGACAGGCAGAAAGACAGCAGCTGGGTTTTGTTCTCAATATTACATGTTGTTTTGTCAAATTCAAGATTTATGACGGCATATTAGAGCCATGATAGGTAAAAAATAAATAGATACAGAGGAAGGGGGGTATTATACAGAGAAATACTTTTTTCAAGTTTATTCTTGCAAATGTATGACTTTATAATCAGAAAATATTTTAGTTTTTGTGTAAATTTGTGAGATTCTTACCACTTTAATCTCAGAGAATATCCAAGTGTTTTTCTCATAAAACTACAACTTTACTCTCAGAAAGATTTTTCTATGAAAATATTACCCCCCTCCCCTGTCTTTTTTGGCCCTAATACGCTGTCGTAGCACCAGTCCAGCACTACACTACAGTACAGTACAGTACAGTATATCCTTAGTAAACAAGAAGTGCAGTTTGAGTGCTGAAAGCAGAATGAGGATGAGGTGAAGAGGGAAAAGGCCCTGTTGCTAACTCACATGTTGGATTTTTTCCCTGTAGGGGAAAAAGCACATTTAATAACAAATACCTTGGCTTTCCTGACGCTTTCCTGCACCTCTGCTATCTTCTGCTCCACACTGAGCCCCGTCTCCCCCGACAAGAGCTTCAGCCGACTCTCTAACGTCTGTAGGGCCTAAGGGAGAAACACAAAGATAAAACATATATTTCTCATTAGAGTGGAATTTTAAAGGACCAGTGTGTAGGATTTAGTGGCATCTAGCGGTGTAGTTTCAGATTGCAACTCCCTCACTTCACCCTCCCTTTGTAAGTGTGTAGGAGAAACTATGGTGTCCACAAATCTCCTGAAAAACGAACATGTCACAAATTCCACCAACTCTTTGTTCGTTTTCATCTGGTTTTGTTTTCATGCCATATCACTTACTCTCTGATGTTTCAGATCCCGCCTCTCAGGCCATGCAATCAACTTACTCCCCTCACCTGATGTTCCCCTCCCACCTCCTCACCTGAAGCTCACTCCCTCATTTGTCCCTCAGTATATATACCAGTCCACTGTCATGTTCATGTGCTATAAGCATTCATTTGCTCAGGAAGATCTTGGCCATCTTACCAATCAGGGAAGGTGCTAGGTGACGCAGGGAGAAGACACAGTTCATTAAACAACAATGGCATCTGCTAAAGAGGTTAGCGTAGATGCTTCTAGCATCAGAGAGAGGATTTCTTCACTGAGAGAAGGGCATAGATTGACACTGCAGGCTTTTTTCCATGGAATGTTGTCTCTCCTCTCCCAACTGGCTTTAGTAAGAGTTTGACTACGTTATATGTCCATTGATCTGATTGGATTACTTGTGATAGATGCTGACAGACAGATGGTTCGTCCAATCACCTGCCGAGTATTTTCTGAAAGTGCCTGCCCTTTTCCAAACAGTTTCCCACATCGACTTCCCAGATGGTTCTGTGTATTAAACCATCTAGTCAGATTATATTTCGGTTTTCCAACCCTGAAATCTCACCCTCTCTCCATGGGTGATGATTTTGTAGTCTTTTGCAGCTTTTGTAGCCCATTTCTTGGCCTCCTTTACCAGACATCCCTCTGCTTCTGAAGCACAGACCTCCTGTAGAGCAGACACCTGCACAAAATAGACAAACATCCCTCTGTTCTTCATTCTTTATCATGTTAGATTATCATGTTAAGTGTTTTATAATGCTGTGTAATCTGTAAGGCAGTAGTTCATAGTGTTGTTGCACTAGACTGCATTATAACAAGGTTTTGTTATAAACTGTAGTCTCTCAATCCCTGTACATGCACATACATGTTTATTTCTTGGTTTGAGTTAATTATGAGCAGTCTTGTCAGTTTTTCCTTAAGTTATCACTGAAAAGGCAGATAGAATTGCATTTCATATTCATTTTTATCATGTTTAAAATTTGCTTCTTCCCCCCTGGAGTTCACACACACCCGCACACACATATAAACATAAAAACACACCTTGTCACGTGGAGCTGACTGGAAGGTGAATTCAGGAGTTTTGCTGAAGGAGACAGATTCCTGTAGAAACTGCAGAACATTTCTCTCTCTGGTCACCTGATAAAACAGTAACCCATCAATGTTAACCAGGAACAAACAAAACTATTCCTCCTACACTGTGGGCTGGAAACGTATGCTTGGAAAATACAGGAAAGACCTGTGGATGCACCCAAAGCAGACTGCTGTTTTTGTGTCTTCATTAGCGGTAATCCTGGTGTAGTTCCCATTCAGAAATTTCAACTAGAACGCCAGCTGAAGCCAGATTTCCAACTAGGAAAGTCAGAAGTACCAACCCCAACCTCATAATCCAAGATGGCTTCTTTTCGCGTCAATTAAGTGAAAGCTGTAGTAATATTCTGTTTATTAGCACTGTCTTTTGTGTCTCATTAAATCAGTTTTACACACAGTACAGTAAAATACAACAACCATTAGATATGCTATGTGCTAGGCATGCCAAAGCTGAAAAGATAGTTGAAATTTTGAAGATGGTTGAAATATTTATACATATTTTAACCATCTTCAAAATGCGTACAGGTAAGTACAAGAAAGGAGAAAGTTGATGGAAGTTCTGACTGAGGCTTGCTCAATGTTATTGGAGCACAGAGCAAAAATGTGTGGGATTTAGAGATACAGGTGAACAAAAAAACCTGTGTTTAACTGGTGCAAGCCTTGTACCATCACAGAAATGAAGACATAGGTGTTAAAATGCTTTCTACCCACTCACATTTTGAAGAGAACCGCCTCAGATTTCACTCAGTTGCTACATTAGTTCAGACATTTTATCTACGTGTTGAATTTTGCTCTGTAAACATCTGTTCCTCCTGCCTAAAACTATTGCCCCCATTCTTTTCCCATTAAACATTTATTTCTGCTAACTTTTCTTGCACCTCTCTTTGTCCTTCAAACATGGTCTTCTTATTTGACCTTTTCTCCATTTGCTTGATTTGTTTCTTAATCTCCAACTTTCTCTTTGTCTGTCAACCTCCCTTTAACCCCTCTGCCCCCACCCCCATCCTCTCTAGAAACAAGGTGAGAAATGTCTTATGTCTGGTTTCTCAGGAGCCACTGTGGGATACTGCATGTATAAAACTCAGACAGTCAACAGAAGGTTTGGATGGACATTGACTTCTGAAGACCTGGCACCAATTTAATACCTTTGACTGGAGAGAACCTCCAACGTGGCTGCCTGTGGTCATTGAAACTGGTAGTTAAGATAACTCAAATATGAAAGCAATGTGGCATAAAAGCCCCCTATAGCCAGACCATCAAAACAAAACCCACACACACACACCTTAGCAACACTCTCCCAAATCCTGTTGTACTGTTTGTGTGTGGCCAGACAGGTATCCATCTCAGTCCTACACAGCAGGGTAAAATGGCCTCTCAGATCATCATAAACATCACCGTCCATTTGCTGATGAGGGGAATAGAGAATGAGAGTCAATTTTTACTAGTTCAAGTTGTTCCACCAGCACTTTCAACAAAACAACTTTTATTCAATAATGTATGACTGTGTCTTAATCCTAAATTATGTATTTTAGCCCTTAGTGAACTCCTGATCCCCTTTCCCCCCTCTTCAGTTCTCAGTAGATTATGTATCCCCCCTGTCACACAGCAGGTTTAACAAAAATTGCAACAAAAATCATGATGGTCTTTTGGTGCAAGCTCTAACACATTTTGCAATTCTTCTGATAGCCTCTGGGTGTTTCGTTCTGTATTTTCTAAAGTTTTGTTTTTATTGTCTAGACTGTGCTGCCATTAAGGCAAAACCCTTGGTCTTATGCAACTAGTGGTCAATAAAGGTTAAATAAAAATGTACTGCTAACTGCATTTTTCCCCTTTGGAGGTGCAGTGAATTAAGATCACTCAGTTTCCTTACCTGCAAACATTTAGTACCTCTGAGTGGATCAGTGTTAGTGGGTGACAGCTAGTTATGAGGAGTATTATGAGTTTGTTTTGAAAACTGAACATCAAGCATGAAGTGATGATGACAGCAATTACATTTTTGCAACACACAGACTTTCACAGAAAAAGTAAAAAGGGGAAAAGTAGATGGTGTTTTTGTGCACTGTGCAGAGCAAACTGAACAGACCAGGAGCCCACAGTATGTCAGGAAAGGATGTGGTCAGTGTTTTATCAGATACACAGATCAGATTTAACATTTTTTTTTAGCTTCCTTTTCTCCAGTTTGTATGTGTCTGGATATGTGTGTGTTTGTGGGTGTGTGTGTGTGTGTGTGTGTGTGTGTCTTACCTCCATAATACATGGTAAGTCATTACAATAGTAGTGTTGTTGGTGGGCATTGACTGCTGCTAATGCCAGCAGATACTCATTACGGACTTCAGTCAAACGGTCGTCACACTCTCTCAACCTGGCGCTGAGCTGCACACACACACACACAAAAACAAAATTCAATTTTTTAGTTTAAGTGAAGCATGCAACAAACTTTAACGTGAAAAAGAAACAAATATACAGTATACATCAGCTTAAACCACTAATACTAAGCTTCTATAGAATCCAATGGAATCGGTGCATTCAGAGGATCTGCTTGAGGAGGTGAAATTAATCAGTCCTTCCAGGAAGTTTAATTCTACGCAAAGTTGCAATTTTCATTGTAGTTTCCTGCGCAAAATATTAAGCCATAAGTCACCAAACTCACTGTTTCGAGTTGTAAAGATGGAGACCACGCAGACATTTACCCTAAAACAGTGCGATCAATTTCAATTTGCAAATTTCATCGCAAAACCATGCCTAAAACATCACAACATGCATCGCAACTTTTTATAGAAGCTGCGGTGAAATCAGGCATTCTAGACTACAACAATCCTTAAAAAAGACTGGAGAGTCTGATTAAACCATGTAAATATTCTAAATAGAGTTCAACTTTGGTAAACTCTGACACATACACCCATTGACAAGACAATAACATTTTGCAGCTAAACAGATATTATATTTTTCTCAGGAGGTGGTGGAGACCAATAACAAAGTTAAAAGGAGAGTGATTATTGGATTTGCATTCATCAAGAGGACAGTAATCTATATCTAAACACAACTAGAAATAATTTCTAAATAAACACAGTATCAGCATACTTTATATTTCAGTTTATATTTACTAAGCAACTGTCAGTGTGGATGAATTATCTTTACTTTAGCACCGCTGTGGGAGAATGTTATGATATTTTATTATTACTATCATCTTAGTTTACTTATTTTTGTTATGTAGGAATTATACAGTCTATTACAGTTTATTCATACCTTAGCAGTCATCTTATGTAGTCCTGATTTAAAGTGGAAAATCCCATGTTCACTCTTTCTGGCTCTGAAAGAAAGTTAAGACATACTGATAACATATAATCATCGAGAGGCATGCTGTTTTCACACAATATAATAAATAATGTAATGTAATATAACAATATAATAATACAAATTTAAACTTAAACCTACTACAAGGAGGCTCAATGTATTACTGCATCTATATGACCAACATAAGCACACAAAACCATTGCCACCACAGCGAAAAGATTTTATATAGTTATTTAATACCTGCCACCCGGTTGGATTTGGTTAGATTTCCCCTGAACAGGGGCCGCCAGAAAGTTCCTTGTTGCTGCATTATTTTGAGTGTTACACGATGGGTACAATACATAATTTTGGCGATTTTCTTGCTCAGATGTTGTTTTGGCGTAGCAGGAGGTTTTTGTCATATCAGTGGGTTTTATTGCCCACATGTCCTCATTAGTTTTAACCAAGTGTGAACCTGTTGTGACCCACTGGATTGTGGAGTATTGTTTGAAGGTTTTAGTTTGAAACTCACTCAGAATGATATCACACGGTAGCCACGCCCTAAAGCATACACTGCTTTATGGTCTATTTTACT